TGAGCAATTGCATTGTGCATCACTTGTTTTATATATTCTGTATATTCTCTTACTATTATTATTATTATTATTACTATTGTTATTCTTCTCTCTTATTAAACTGTCTCTATCTCAACCCACGGGTCTTACTTTTTTTCTTTTCTCCTATTCTCTCCCCCATCCCACAGAGGGAGGGTTTTATTCACCTTCCATGAAAGCATCGCTGAGGACCTAATGAAGAATGCTGGGTAATTCTGGCATTATTGGATTTTTCGTTATTTATTTATTAGACATGGGAGCTGTTACCAGCAAGCAGCCAGGTGAGTCAAATCAGATAAAGCATCACCTGATTCCTGTGCTGTAAATCAGATTTTAATAGAGAAAAGATCTGTATCCCTTTGGGAGTGGAAAGAATATGTTTATAATGTGTTCTGAATGTGTGCTGCACAATAGCAGGTATGGATAAAAAATATTTTCTCTAATCAATTTTCCACTTTCTTCTCCAAGTTCTTTCACACATAAGATGAGAACTAAAATAAATGAAAATTCCGTTTGTGCCAAGTACTAGCAAATAACTAAGATAAGCATGCATAAAACCATGCATACATGTTGCATCTTCAGACAGACACACAAAAAATACTGCATTCTGCAATATTAAAAATGTAATTGAGAGATTATTGTTTGTCTGCTGGCAGAATAGTTTACAGATTTCAGGTTTATCTAATTCAGCCATTGAAATGAGAACTTTGGTAACGTACTCTCAACCCCAGTACAGCTTCTGTCTTAGGTATTTATCCTTGCCTTTTTCTATTCAGAGGCTATGAAGTCGTTTGACAGGACGTGTAGATTAGACACAGATAACATTTGACTACCCCTTGAAGGTTTTACAAATTTTAATCAGCAGACTAATCTAGATATGCTCAGACAGACATCAGCGTTAAACATTGAAAACCCTGATGCAAAGCCAGCTCTTTCTCGTTATGCAGCGTTATTTGAATTTTGAGTTGCTGGAAATTATTGTTTGCAAAAATGAGGGCTCCCCTCTCACCTAACGCATCATTTTTGACTGTCAGACAGAATTAGAATTCTGAAACTAGTTTTTTGCACACACTTAAAACAAATATTTTGAAGACTCAAAAATTACTTTTTAAAAACAAACTTGTTAGGTGATATTCAATTAATTCCATAATAGACTGGAGAAAAAGACTTTCATGTCATGTTTGGCTTAAAAATGCCATTTCTTTCATGATTTACACATGAAAATGCGTTTATAACCAAACCATTTTATTCATTGAAATTTATGAAGGTGTGTGCTCAGAGTGCCATTAACAAACAAACAGGGAAAGCTCTGCCACTACCAGTCATCAGCAGCAACGCTGACATCCATGTCACACGTCAGTATCTTCTCATTCCCTTTTCTTCCCAGCTGAGCCTTCAATTCTCCATCACAGTTTACAGGAGAACTTTCTAAAAGTAACTGCAAAACTACAGGCAGCACAGAAGTAATGAACACAATGAAAGCTAATATCAAACTTAGGTTATCTGAACGTAAGGCTTACTTGTTAATGAAAAAAATCCAAACAAGTCATAACTAACCACATGCTGTATTTGAGATATTGGTTTCCCTTTTGAGGGATGCAACTACACTTTAATTTTTTTTTGTCAGTATCTGAACAATAACCTGCTTCAAAACCTGTATTTGGATGAGTAAAGGTTGGCTCTAGTCACTTGGGCAGTTTCAGGTTGTAATGATTTCGGTGTCTCAGACAGATTAAATATCTTCAAGGAAGACCAGATAATTTTTGGTTTTATATATCTGTGATGATAACACAGAGAAATAAGTGAAGGAACTACGACCTGTGAGAAACATGAATACTGAGACTGAAAATGTAGCCTGTAATGGGGTGCAGTGTACACATCACTAAGGAAAACACTGTAAGGTCTGAGGTTTCCTCTTGGAAATAGAGAGCAACAAGGACTGGGAGAAGCAGAGATGGTGGTGTCACATTAACATGAACAAGTAGGAAACAGTCACTTAAATACGTTTTTGTCTCCCAGAAAAAGAAAAAAAAAAGAGACTGAATTAAGTGTAATAAAAATCCCTGTAGACCCATACTTGCTATGCCTCTAAGTAACCTAAGAAGTTTATTACAGCACAACTGGAATGATAAATATCAAAGAAACTGATATCTCAACCCAATCCTAGATACAAACTTACTGTTTGTTACCATTGCACTTCCCACTGTGTTCCTCTCCAGGTGGTACAGCTAGACTACTAATCCTTTTCTCCTCAGCTTCAGCAGATCAGGCAATCATAATTTAGTAGTAACAAAGCCATGCCATTTGTGGGAGCAGACAGACCATCTTTAAATTACCATCTTTCTAATAAGCACCTTGTAAATCTGATTAAATTTATGTCACTAAACTCAAAAAATTTCTGATGTATCTGAAAAATAGCTTCTTTTTTAAACAGATAATCAAAACCACAAATAAGGACTGCAACCTTAGAGCATCTACCACATTTTGGCCCATGTGGTAGCCTTTGGCAAAGTGACATAGGCTTCAGAGATGCTCCCTTCGTTAATATGAGGATGGTTTGAGTTTCTTTCACCTCACCCTGGAGAGCAGAACATTTACGGAGAAATGAGTCATCCCTCATTGCAACAGGCCACAGAATTCATTGCACAACAGGAGATGAGCAGATGAAGATTCAGTACCTTACTTGTCAACTGTACTTATCAGTACAAATGAAAATATTTGACTGTCTCAAATTAAGAGCACATCCCTTATACAATAAGTTTAGCTCTTACAATCCAGTTTAAAAGTATGAAAACATCACTAGCCAGACAGCTCTTCATCTGGCAAGTCTCTCACATCTTGAAATTAATGCCAGATTTCTATCTTTTATCATCAGTGAACTACTAATGCGTACCACCTCCTTAACTGCACATGTTCAAACCCTCAGTGGAACTACACACTCCCTAGCGTAGCACATGTGCTGCTGGCTGACTCAGTGGGTCAAGCTCAGGTTAATTATTAGCCAACGAGGGCACTGCACTGCAAACTGTGAGAACCACAGGCCTTTTATATGTGAGATGGCTCTGAAGTCTGGCCATGTAAATCAGACTGCAAGACCAGAGCCTCTCAATTATTGCTTTGCTTCCCTTAAGTTTTAATGAATCTTTATCTAAAATATCCCATTATTTTCCTGAGTAAATACATCCCGGATGACATAATGTGGAAGGAGGGGGCAGGAGGATGAAGATTGTTTCAATTTTTTTTGGTCAAGGAACCTCCTTTCTCTACATATAAAGGTCCCTGTCCTAGATCAAATGCACCTTTTCCCACTTTAAAATAAGAAGAAGATCTATTCACTCAGAGTTGACAAACAGACAATATACATGAAGCAGTTCAGGGGAAGTGAGGTAGCTTTAATAATCTGTATCACATTATTATTTGTCTGTTGAAACTTTATGGCTTATAACCAGGAGTTTAGGCACTCACAGTTTCCCCTCCCTGGAGGGCAATGTATCAAGACGGTAATGTATCATGACCTCAACAAATGTTCTATTTAAACAGCACAATGACTCCCAAATGGAAAACACATTTCTACCTGCGATACCTCAGGTTTAAATATATTTATCTTTTTTTTCTTTTTTTTTTTTTTTAAAAAAATTTCATTTCTAGAAGAAATTAGCCTGGCAGGGATTCGATGCCATGTTCTACCTTCAAACACATAAGGCCCTTCGGCACTGGTGAGGCTGGTGTAAATGTATGGTTAGGATAACGTCAAACCCGCCACCCCGGAGGCGTCTGACTTACTGAGGTTCCACCTGAGGCCCGTCGTGGTCACGCTCTCGCAGGAGTTCCCGATGGGGATAAGGCCACACCAGGCGCCCTCCAGTCCCGTGTCCACATGCAGCTTGTGCTTGCCCTGCAAGACAGAAGGGCCTCTGGAGTCAGTGCTCGCCAGTGACGCAAACGGCATTTGCCAACAGACTTGCAAAAAAACCCCAGAAAGTACTTAGATGGAGACAGGTCCAGAATGTCCCCCAAAGGCTCAGGAATATTTGGCTGCAGAAACTTAGGTTGTTGATGTTTACAGAGGGAGGAGAGACCTGTTGTGCTGGTTTTGGTGGTTAAACCATGACACTGTGTGCTTAGGTTTCAGACCTCAGGGCCTTAAAAAGTTTGTTTCTGGGCTTTTCTAAGCAGAATCTGGTTTTGCTCATTCTTCCCTGGTATTTTTGAAGAGGCACTTCTGTCAAAGCTAGGCTTTTTATTCCTGACCCATTCATTAATTTTTTTCCTCATCTGAGCAGCTGTGTTTCACTTCCTAAACAATGCTAGTCAAAGCACCGCTGAAACTCCGTCATTATTTTGACAACATCTGTAGAATTTCATGTACTTCACCAGGCATGTACTCTTCCCAGAAGGAAGAATATGAGCAGAAACTTAACTAGGTGCTGGAGAAATTAGCCTAAATATTTAGAGCAACATGCTTACACTAAGTAAGAACAATTAAAACACGTTTTTTGTACATCTAAGACAAATTCATCTTGTAACTATCAAGTTCATGGGATGCAGGAGAAGCAGCAGCTATTAATGACGATGATTTGTGACCAAGCTCTTAATTAGTACCTATAGACCCTGTGTGAGCATCTTGCCAGGTATCAGCATATGAACAATTGCAAGGAAGAGTTGATAGTGGAAATCCTTCACAGAATGAAAAAAAACCCAAACCCCTTAATGTTAGAGTTCTGGCACAATTTGTGTTCTAAGAAAGTGTTTATGAAAACTGGCTACAAGAAAACAGCAAATGCAAACCAGTGACAAGATCAGTAGAGAAATCATCCTCTGGTCTCTTCTACACAGGTAATTTATTCTTTCAAACAAACATGGGCTTCATCTGGGGGAAGGTTAGGATTCTTTGAAAGAGAGGTTTCTTTAGGGTTTTATTTTATTCTTTTGTGGATGCACAGGCAAGTTAAACCCTTAAGCATGTCTTTTACACACAAATTCTTCACTAGAACTAAAATCAGAGATGCCTATTTATTAATCTACCAAAATAAAAGAACCCTCTGAAACCCAATGAGTATTCAGTGAGTACTTCGTTAAGCAAGAAACCAAGGTTTTATAGCAAAAGAAAAAAGAACAGTTGAACCATAAAACTCAGGTAAATGTCCCAAGCAGCAAAAATACTTTCTCAATTTCCTTTTGGGGAATGTATTTACGCTTTTTTCTTATGTCCTGCCCTCTCATACGTTCATTCCAAACGCCCTTGCAAACATAAAGTCACTAGGTAGAAAGTCAAAGCTGGAGGCTAAGTATCTTATTGCTTGAGATGCTGCTGTCTGAGGCATTCGACAGCTTCTCCTGTTAATGCCAAATGCATTATGAAGAAACAACTTCAATACATGTCATGCTCTCAGTTAACAAATGAACCTTGGAAAAGCTGTCAATTAGGGAGTATCAGATTGCATAGCTTAAGCCTGTTTGATTGTTTGCAGAGCAACAAGAAAACCAATCCAATATCATCTATCTTCTCAGGGCGTCCAGCTTCATGTGGTGATGAGCCATGTATTTCTATAGTGGTTGTGAACGCTCGCCTGCCAAATTCAGAGGTGTAACAAATTCAGGCCTGATAACCTTTTAGCAATATGCCATAGAATCATAGAATCATAGAATCATAGAATGTTTTGGGTTGGAAGGGACCACTAGAGGTCATCGAGTCCAACCCCCCTGCAGTCAGCAGGGA